TTTGTGTATACATATGTGATATATAGGTATTAGATAACAGATTTACAATAACATAGATATAATAATAAATCTTACATAAATTATATATGCTATCACATGTAATTGTTATGCAACAATGATATATTCATTATATAAATATAATTATAAATATATTAATATATATTACTAAAATACGTATTATTTTATATACTGATATATCATTAAATATGACACATATTAAATTATATATTAAGTATATAATAGTAACATAATTATAACAGCACATATTACATCGGACTATATTATAAACATAACAAATAGTTGCACACATATAATATTAACTCACATTACATATGTGCCGACCACTCTAACACTCTAGTCCTCTGAGACCCCGTGTGGTGAGAGCCACCCATGGGCTCCAAGCCTCAGACCACACGGCCATCCACCATAACCATACCCAGATGTACCTCCATACCCTCAGCCTTCTCCATACCCACCTGTCATACCCATCTGCACCATATCTGGTCCCAGGAAAACTCAACCCTCTGTCTGTTCCGCACCTGCACCAGAGAAGCAGACATGGCTGAACAGGAAAAGACCTGAGCAATCACACTGCAGATGGCCTTTCATCCCTGCCCAGAGCCCCTGGACCCTGAAGCCCTTCAACCAACCACCTGCTCACCTAGCATTTCCCACTCCATGTCCCCTTACGCCAGAATCTGCTCTCCCTCCCATCCACCCCTAGCTGCCCGTGCCTGTCACCTGCAGAGTTCTGGGTGCCTCTTCCTCCTAAGCCACCTCGAACTCCCCGCCAAGTTCCTTGGCTCTACCTTCCTATTTGCTCTGATGACTCTCTCACTTCCACTTGCCTGGTACACAGGCACTTGCTTCTGCTCCCACTTTGCCCTTGTGGAGTCCATTCTTCCAGGGCAGCCTTGGTGACTTTTCAGAGGTGTCACTGTCCAACTTCCAATCCTCAGGAGACTTTACATCTCACCCAAAACAAAACTCAAATTTCTACACTGCCTGGGGATACTCAGGCCTCTTCCTGCTCTTCCTGTTCTCACATCACACCTCACATCACTCCTACCCCAACAGCACATCCTTCTATTCCTTCTCTCTGTACATGGTTTCCTTCTCTCCTCCTTCCTCTCTCCCTTCCCTCCTCCCTTCCAGCCTCTGCTTCAGCATCACCTCCTCTGACAAGTTAGTGAGAGAAGACCTTCATGGGAAACCAACCCTAACACTTTGTCTCCTCATTCTTTGCTTTTCTTCATATCTAAACTACCACTGATTTTTTTGGTCTCTCACTCATAAAACCATATCATCCACACAGGCAGGAAGCATGTCTGTCTGACCCACCACCCCAAACCCCAGCAACTGAGTCAACAAATCAGGGGTGCTGCTTTGAATCTGTAGCACACAAAGTCACTGCTCAATGCATGTTAGTTTTCAATGATACACCTGGGTCCTCAGTGAAGGAGCCATTTTCTGCTTGATGCCAACCCCCATGGACCATCATTTCCAGAAACGGAGCTGAGAGGAACTTATACCAGCCTCTTTAAGTCACACTCAGGATCACTCAAGGAAGCACACAGCCAGAGAATGCCATTATCTTGGAGCAAGCTAAACCTCAGGCACAGTCAGGCTGTTCTCCTGGTGCTGGTGAGAAGCAAGGCCAGTTCCTCAGAGTTGGCTGCCAACAGATTTCATTTCTCCAGGCTGTGGGAGGTACAGGTGCAAGGTGAGCTTCAGCTATGTGTGTTTCTCTCTACTTTTTTTTTCAAATTCTCAGTCTGTTGGGCCACAGTCTGGGGCCCAAACATCATGGGAAGATTAAATTGGGTAAAGAACAAAAGCTTCATGAAGGAGAAAAAGGCAGGTGAGGGTACGGTTTCTTGAGATCACTCTTGGTTGCAGGGGGTCCTCCAGTTCGTTGTGGGATGGTGATAACACCTGGTTTTTATTCACTAGATGCCAGAAGCATCCTCCCCTCCCAACTGTGGGAACTAGCTGTGTGTCCAGACATTGTCAAGTGTCCCGTGAGGGACAAAATTTCTCCCAGTTGAAAACCACTGGACTTAGGGGAGGCTGGCAGAAGCCTGACAAGCAAGAGGCCCCCAATCATGGTGAGGGCAAGAATGAGCCTCGAAGAGAAAGAAAGAAAAAAGGTAATAGGAAATGTATCAACAGGACAAGCAAATACAAGAGAGGGACCCTCAAGGCTCTCCAAACCATACTCCCACTGCCACCCCTGCCCTGCCACTCAAACTTCCAAAGAAGACAGTTCGATAAAGCAGGGGGATTTACAACAGCTCCTTCAGGGCACACCTTGACATGTCAAAGGGCTTCTGCAGCTTTTTCACCTCAACATCAGAGAGATCATTGTCCCCCAGGCTGAGGAAACTAAGACTTGAGTTCTTACTGAGTTCTCAAAAGAGGCAATGACAAACCACAGCGTTGAGGCTGCACAATTCCAACCTACCAAAAGAGCCCCAAGATGGGCAGTTACTCCTGTGCTGAGTGGTTTCCATTTAGCCTCCCCCACAACTCCAGGAAAATCTGGTTTCTTCCCGTCTCTCATCCCTTTCAGAAGCAGGATGGCCTCCGGGTCAGTGCTGCTCAAATTGTGGCACATAGTCCAGCATCGCCTCTGAGCCTGTTACAAATGCTGATTGTCGGGCCCCACAGCAGACCTGCCAGACCTCAGGAGGTAGGTTCTAAGAGTCTATGTTTGAACACACCTCCTGGGTGATTCTGACATTCGTTAAAATTTGAGAACCACTACTCCACACCCATGGACTTTTCCCCTTTGCTAATCCTTCTCTGAATCCTTTTGCTGCCATGCTGACTCCTGTTCTCCCGGTGGATCATTAGACTTAGGATGATCTTGGGGACACATCTGGGAAACCAGAGACTTACCACAGATACTTGAGGTTGCAGGCCGAGTGCCTCAAGGTTCTAAAAGTCATCATAGACAGTAATTCCCAGGTAGATGGAGCTCAAGTTGAGATGGGTCAGCCTGTCATTACCATGAAGGACCAGGATGAGCTCCTTCAGAATCCCCACAGGGGTTACAGATTTGCACCTGAGGAAGAGAGACAGCGAGGAAGCTAGCTGCGGGGTGGGGGCAGACAGTGTCCTCATCTTGCCTTTCTTCCATTAAAAACAATGAGAGACACTTAGGGATGTATAAGTTATAAGGGAAATCAAAAATTTGATTTCTGAGTCATGGTATTAAACCTTTGAGGAGGCAATCTAAAATATACTTCCAAGAGAGTCACTAAGCTCAGCGGGATATATGAAGCCAGCAGTCAATCAAGTTCTACCCTCCCCTCCTTTAATCTGCCATTAAGAAGTTCTGGGGCCATCTAGTCTTCTAGCGAGGTGATTCCCCCTATACCAACCCAGAGAGGTCTGGTGAGAACAACTCTCTCTTGTTTTTTCTTGAGCTTGTTTCTCCTTATCTTGAGGATTAAGTGACAGAACCAAAATGGGGTGGGGGAGAAAAAGTGTGAAAAAGACAACTGTTTAAGCCCATGTATTTGATCTAGCTCACTCAATACACTGAGAGCACATAGGGAAACAAACGGTGTTGTGTTACTCATCCCAGAGTTTCCTAGTTGAAGGTCGACTCTGTGTGACGGTTGAGATGGCTGACAGAAAGCCTTAGCTTACTTAACCTCTCACAGTGCTTGAGGCAAAATGAAGTAACCCAAAATATCCCAGTCAGCTTCAAGGAGGTGACTCAGAATCTGCTTTACAAAGTCCTCCTCCTGCATCTCACACAAGCACTGAAAAAAAAACAAGAGGAATTCAAAACCGAAGGAGATGTGTCATATTTAGATAAGTCTTCTGCCCATTCTAATAATTCATCCATTACCCTGGGAGACATCCTACAGTGCAGAGTATCTTTCATTTCCCTTGCTAGATCTCTTTTCAAGAGACTGAAGTAAAATAGAGATATCTGATGCCAGTAGAAGTTTGTGTCAGCAAAGGCATCACTCAGTAGCACTCTCATCTCTTGATGCTTTGAGAGACCACCGATGGAGCCTTTCGTTCCCCCGAGCACATAGATCATGGCCCCCCAAAACATCTGGAAACTACAGTGAGTGAAGGTGATACAATCCTCACAGTCACTGACCTTTTGAAGAATATTCAGCCTGAAGAGAAAATCAATGAGAGGTGCCTGCAGGCCCTGATGTTCAATGTCCTCTTTGGCAAATGTGAAGTTTGAGGACCACACCCTATCTGCAGCCAGAGAGCAGAGGGCCCTCCATTGCTCTGGCCAGCTCTGCCCTGACCAACTCAGCTCTGCTGTTGCGAACCAGCTGGAGAAGAAATAGGCATACAGACTGGTGGCAGTCTGTGTGCTCAGCTGGAAATGAGGATGGCTTACCATCTGTCGCTTCAGGCAGGAGCATACCCAGGAGTGGAACAGGACTGAGATAGAGTTTCAAAACTTCTTATCCAATGCAAGATTTTCTTGGCTTTGCTTTGGTCCCCAAAGTATCTGTAGAATAATCCTCCCAGTCTTCCTCTGTGAACCTTAAAATCAGTACAAACCATGGATCCAACTTTTTAAGATCTTTGCTCCTACAGTCCCTGGTCGTGATTAGTAAGGTAGCTTCAAAAAGTGGAACAGGATTCTGGTCACTGGGAGGTACTGATGCTGATCTGTGCATGGCAGGCCGTCAGCCAAGTTGAAGGGCACAGTCAATTCCTCAAAGCCATCGATGACAAACAAGAACCTCTCGGGATGAGTCATGAGCTCTTCAATAGGGGCCTGAGAATCGGGCCAGCAAAGGTGGTGTCCTCCATCTCTCTCACTGCATAGTAGCTAATGTAGAAAACATAGGAGAACTTGTACTGAAAGAGGAAGCCCTCCACTCAGTGCAGCATGACCTTCATTGCCAAAGTGGTCTGTCTAACCCCTGCCATCCTCTCCAACACTTTGGTTCAGAGCCAAGCACCGGCCCTGTTAGGATACACAAGGCACATCAGTTTTTCATGCTCTTGTTCCATCACATTGCAGAGGTAAATGTGGTCTTTGGGCCAAGGGGTACTGTCCCACATCTCCAGTATTTTGGCCCTCATCCTCTCTCTGTATATTCTTCTGTGGTCTAAACAGAGAAGTAGGGCCAAACACAACAGTGATCAGAATGAGTTTCAGCATTAAGGACTGTTCGACAATGAAGTTGCTGCCAATGAGACAACCTCTTCCTTCAAGGGTTTAACTTGTGGGAGGAGGGGTGGGTGTGGTTGTGGAAAGTCACAAAAAGTAGCAAAAGTTAAATAGTTTGAAGATATACACAAATAAAAATCCTAGAATGACACAAGAGAGATGGAGAATGCCTTCAGAAGGTGGAAGGAATCAGCAGACTTCTATGTGAGAGGTGACACCTTATTCATAAGAAGCCAGTTCAAGACAGAGAAAGAGATGCTTTCAAGCAGGGGGACCACTAGTGCAAATGCCCTGGGAGGGGAATGAAGAAATGCCAGAGCACAGTGTTGAAGGTGCCAGGTGGGGCCGCGGACTGCACTTATGGGGACTGGATCATGTACACTTTGTTCTGGAGGCCAAGGGCTGGTAAGCCAGTTTCCATGTGTGAAAGTTCACTGCTTTTTGGAGAAGGGGTTGTGCTTCAACAAAGGAGGTGAGGCGAGCAGGTAAGAAAGCTACACCCATTGTTGAAGTAACAGTAGTTCTGCTTGGTCACACAAATCCATAGACAACATAGCGGCAACAACCACAGAGCCCCGGTTCTTTTGTGGGGGAACTTAGAACCCCAGAAGGACTGGATCACAGGATTAGATATGAGAGGAATGGATTTAGGGTCTGCAGTGAGTCAAACCAGGAAGGTTGCCAGCAGTTTATAACAAGGGGATGGGGTATGCTAAGGAAGATACATTCTAGGGTCTGGGCTAAAATATCTGGGTGGGTGATGATTCTGTAGAGCAGGAAAAAATTATATATATAGTTATATATAAATATGTATTTATTTATATAAATTAAATATATTTGATATACATATCTAGATATATACATAAAATATATTTTATGTACATA